CAGCGCCCCACCCCCACCCGGACACCGGCCGGCCGCTCCTGGGTCTGACCGGTCATGGGCTCTTCCAGGCCATCGCGTGCTTGATGGACATGAACGCGCTGCTGGACCGATTCCACAACTACATCCTCCCGCACCTGCGGGGCGAGGACCGCGTCTGCCACTGCAACTGTGGCCGGTGAGTCTGTGCCCGGCGGGGCTCACGCGTGATCTCACATGTATGGGACTCAGGGCCCACTGGCGTGCGGGAGCCCGAGCAGGCCTGCGAAGGGCCGCGCTAGGCCCAAGGGGCCGCTGAATCCGGCACCAGGTCCAGCGGGGGAAGGGCTGTCCAGCCGCCTGCGGGCACCTGGAGGTTGGCCAGTGGAGTTCTGGAGGGGTGTGCGTGCCTCAGCCAGTTAGAACCCCCTCCCCAAACGCCTTCACAGAGAGGGTGATGGGCAGGACAGGCTCCAGGCCTCCTGGTCCAGGGCCCGGAGGCCAAGGAAGCAGCAGCCCAGCTGGTGTCCGGGAGGGATCCTGCCCAGGGCTGTGCCCACGGAGCACACCAGCCTCTGCCCTGGACCCTGCACGGTGTCCATGAACTTTCCTGGGAGCCAGGTACAGGGAGGTGCTGCCGCTCAAGGTGGGCCGGGCCCACCCCCTCACTGTGCAGAGGAGGAACTGAGGCAAGGGGTGGAGCTTGCTCAAGGTCACTCAGCTTGGAGAGCCCAGGCCACACCACCCGCTGTGACCCGCATCCTGTGCACATGTAATGACGGCGTCCTCCGGGCCATGCATGTTTGTACGTCCATGTACGAAATAAACATCTCATGAGACGCGAGTGTGTGTACCGTCTGTGCATATACATGTGGGTACGCAGCACACGCGCATGTCCGCATGCACACCCTCACCCCACAGGACGCCCTCGGGCTGGAGTCAGTGAGGAAGTGGACAGGGGTCACGCAGCTAGCGAGAGATAGGGGCATGAACCCCAGAACCGGTGCTCTTCACTCCTGACCTGGACACCTGCTCCCGACGTGTGCACACGTGGTGGGCCTGGGGATGAGAGGCAGGCGGCCTCAGGCCTCACTCTGCATGCTCCCTGCCCGTGGGTGCTGACCCGACTGACCGGTGTGTGGAAGCAGACCTGGGCCTGGGAGCAGGTGGAGACAGCAGTGCAAGAGCCCTCACCTGTGCTGGCCAGGAACCTCCCAGAGGTTTCCCGGTGGCCGTACTCTCCCAGAGAGCCCCGAGTTCCTGCCTGGGGCGGCCAGGGCTGTGAGTGGTGTGAACTGGGGTGACCTGGAGACCCCCTGGGGCTGGTGGTGTGCACAACACGGGTAACACACACTTTACATGTGTGTGGGCTGCTGCATTGTGACCAGTGACCTCACACTGAGGGCGGACAGGATGTGCTTTCAGAGTCTATGTGCACAGGGTGTGTGTGGGTCACATACAGTGTCCAGAGTACACGTGCGCTCATGTAAACAGATGTCCGTGGCGTATGCACAGCTGGGCTTGTGTGCACAGGTTAGCGTGTCTGTGGAAAGCCACCTATGAACTTAAGAATGTTTCTGCATGCTTGTGTCCACATGTGTGTGCTTCGTACACATCACGACATACATGATATGGTGTACAACATATTCTTGTTTATTGACAACATACATGTGTATGCCAGTACATGTATATGATACAATATACAGCGACCAGTGTGCTCCATGTGGGCCCAGTGACTGCCTGCATAGTTTTGCACATGGAGTATTCGTGTATATGCCATGTACACGCATTGCCACAATGGACTCTACCCATGTGTGTACACACCCTATACAAGAATAAGCGTGCACGTACGTGTATGCCTTCTACATGCCTTGCGGGAAGTTTTATGCAGAGGACATGTATGTACATTCATACTCCAGTATGTGTGCCAGCAGGTGGTGTCTGTGCGCACACATCCATGCATGTGCCCCGGCGCCCACAGAGAGGGTGGCTCTGTGCAAAGCCACATGCATGTGCATCTCCGTGTGACATGCACCATGCTTGTGCCTGGGCAAGCATACACATGCACACATGCGGACCTCATGGGCCACGTCCATGGTATATACGCCATGTCCTGTGCATGTGGCCGGCGTGTATACACAACATGCATTGGACCTCAGGTAAACACATGCAGCATGCATGGTCCAGGAAGGACCCATGTATGTTCTCATCATGGAAATAGGTGTGTACATGGGAGACCTGAGCCCTGTCCCCAGGGGCCTGCATTGGAGGAAGGAGTGGGCAGAGCACAGGGGGAGAGTTGCTGGTGCCAGGACAGTGATGGGGGCACAGACTGTGCCTCCAACCTCTGGGGTCCTGAGCCTCCGGGGTGGTTGGGCCGGCCTCCTCCTTGCAGAGCACCAGGGGCATGTCTGGCTCCCGTGGTGGCCCAGCCTCTGACAAGTCCTGCCCTGCCCAGCAGCGTGTCCAGGGGTCAGAAACAGTTGTCCTTTGAGGACCCACCAGAGGTCCTAGGCCCAGGAGGCTGGGGAGGCAGAAGAGGGTGGTGATGTTCAGTATCAGCACCCTGAGGCTTGAGGTGCCTGGGTGACGGGACTGCTAACAGCTCGTGAGGGGTGTCCCCTCAGGGGGCCTGGAAGCTGCTGCACATTCTAGGTGGTGATCATTCGTTTCCATCACTTTTTGTTGTTGTTCATCCTCACCTGAGGATATTTTTTCCATTGATTTTTAGAGAGTGGAAGGGAGGGGGAGAGAGAGAGAGGAGAGAGAGAGAGAGAGAGAGAGAGAGAAACATCAATGTGAAAGAGACACATCGATTGGTTGCCTCCTGCACGTGCCCCAACTGAGGCTGGGGATCGAGCCTGCAACGGAGGTAGGTGCCCTTGACGGGACTCAAACCTGAGACCCTCCAGTCCGCGGGCCGATGCTCTATCCGCTGAGCCCAGCCGGACAGGGCTCCATCACCCACTGATGATTCCTAGTGGCTGTTGACAAACTGATCAGATGAGCGATGGCTACTAGGTGTCGGCCAGTTCGTGCTGACTGACCGAGGGCAGGGGATGGGGGCCCTGCCCTGTGGGCTGCTGTGCACAGGGGTCCCCAGGAGGAGCAGGAGAGGGTGCGAGGAGACAGGACTCCCCTGACCCTGGGGAGGAAGGCACCCCAGGTGGCCAGTGTTGGTGCAGCAGGGCCTGAGGTCAGAGGTCTCTTTGGGGGGCGGGGAGCATAGGAAAGTGTGGGGGAAGGAGGAACCCGTCTCCAGGAAGACCAGGCGGGGGTGTCAGCATCTAACTGGAGGGACGCCGGGAGGGGCAGGTTCTGGGAGGGAGGAGCTATTTTTAGGTGTGAGTTTGAGGTGTCTGTAGATCCCACATGGAGACGCCAGGCAGGCAGCTGGAGCTCAGAGCAGCCATATGGGGCGGCAGGGACTCTGGGTGGGGGGATGGAGAGCTGGGGAAGCCAGCAAAGGGACGCAGGAGGACCCCAGGTGGCCCCTGCACTGCCTGACAAGAGGAGGGTCTGTAGGCGCCAGGGACTAAGATGACGGGGGCTGAAGGTGCATGGACCCCACTGCGCCTTGGCGCCTAGGCGCTCACTCTTTTTTATTGATTTTTCACAGAGAGGAAGGGAGAGAGAGAGAGAGTCAAACATCGATGAGAGAGAAACATCGATCCGCTGCCTCCTGCACACCCCCCACTGGGGATGTGCCCACAACCAAGGTACAGGCCCTTGACCAGAATCGAACCTGGGACCCTTGAGTCCGCAGGCCGACGCTCTACCCACTGAACCACACCAGCCAGGGCTCCTAGGCTCTCTTAACAGTGAGGGGGTGAGGGTGGGGCAAGCCCAGAGTCCACCCTCCTGGGCAGAGCCACTCCACCTGGTGTCACGGGGCCCGGAGGACTCCCTGGAGGAGGCGGTATCCAGGCAGCTCTGAGGCTTGATGAGACCGTGTGAGGAGCGTGTAATGTGTCCTCGGAGGCAAGCGAGGGCCTGGAGGGTTCAGGAGTCTGAGTCTGGCCAATGGAGGCAGGGGAGGCCGAGAGCCTTGGCACAGGCCCTGGTGGGTGCCGGGTGCAGAGGAGGGGCCACGGCTGAGAAGCCCAGACAGTTCCATCGACCCCTGAGAGCAGCAGAGCGGCCCAAGGACTTACAGATCCACGCAGGGCGTAGGCCAGGGTGCACCGGGAGAGGGGACGAAGGGATGGGTTCTGGACAGAGAAGCGGATGCCACTCGCTGTGCCCGGATGGAAGCTGCCGAAAGGGCTAGTGAGTGTCGCCTTAGGGAGGCCAGAGGGGCGGTCCCAGAGGAGCGGTCAGCTCCTGTCCGGCAGGTGGGCTCTGAACCTGCCCTCAGAGCGGGACACCGGCCCAGGGCCTCCGCCCTGGAACCACGGGCCCACCTGCACTGGCCCGTGACCCCGTCAGGGTCAGCCACCAGCCCCAGGCCGGGCCGAGGAGGGGGGTGCAGTGTGGGCAGACGCCCCGGACTGGACTTCACGCTGACGACCACTGGTCTTGCACCCCCCGCCCTACGGGCAGCCTCCCCCTGGGGACCGGGGCCCTGGGAGAGGCCGCGGGCCCTGGGGA